GGGGGGCCCCCCGGGGCCCCCCCTGCATGCTGGGCCCTGGGGGCCCCCCGGGGGGCCCCCGAGGCCCCCGGGCCCTCCTCCGCGGCGGGGCCCGCTGCAGCGGCGGGGGCCCCCGGGGGCCCCCCGGGGCCCCCCGGGCCGCCCAGGGGCCCCCCGGGGCCCCCGGAAGCCGCCAGGGGCCCCCCCGGGGCCCCCGGGGCCCCCGGGGCCCCCTGGGGGCCCCCCGGGGCCCCCGCTGCAGCGGGAGCGTCGAGCTGCTGCAGCAGCAGCAGCTTGGCGCGGGCCGCGAGGGCATCGGCGTCAGCCTTGAGCAAAGACAGGCGGGGAAGGTGGCAGCAGGAAGTTTGCTGCTGCGCCAAAAAGAGCCTGGAGTGTTCGTACACCCGAAGGGCCCCCAGGGGGTCGGGGGCCCCCAAGTGCTGCCGCAGCAAATGGGGAAGAGTGGCGAGGGTTTGGAGCTGCTGAATGAGCTGCCTAAATGCGACTAAGTCCTCAATTGCTGCAGCCCGCTGCTGCAGCGTGGCGAGGACTTTGCTGCTGCTGCACTCGACGCGGGCCACTTTTGCTGCTAGCTGCTGCAGCAGCAACTCGAGGGCCCCCAGGGCCCCCCGCACGCGCCCCACAGCTTCTGTGGCACTCAAAAACTTGGAGTAGTTTTCGTAAACTAAAGTTTGCATTTCTCGCTCGAGAGTTTTGCTGCTGCTCTCCAGCTCCTGCTGCAGCCGCAGCAGCTGCTGCAGCGAGCACTGCTGCAGCGCAGCAGCAAAAAAGGCCTGCATGTTGAACTCCGCAGACCCCAGGTCCAGCGCTGCTGCTTCCAGCTGCTCCCCCCTTGCTGCTGCTGCTGCTGCTGCTGCTGCTGCCACGCTGCTCGCCACGCTCCCGGGGGCCCCCGCCCCGCACCCCCCGCCAGCAGCAGCAGCAGCAGCAGCAGACTGCTGCAGGTACGGGATCTCCTGCAGCAGCTGCAGCGCCGTCTTCACTGCGCTCCCCGCGCCCGCTGCTGCTGCTGCTGCTGCTGCGCCAAGCCGCTGCTGCTGCGGCTCCCTCTCGGCGCCCTTCTTCGCGCCCTCAGCCGACGCCGCTCCCCCGGCGCCTCCTGCTGCTGCTGCGCCCGCTGCTGCTGCTGCTGCTGCTGCTGCTGCTGCTCCCGCCCGGTCCTCAGCAGCAGACTCCGCCACTTCCGACTCCTCCAATTCGTAATACAGATGCAGCATTTGCTCTACGCGGCTGCGGGGGCGGCCCGCCGCGGAAGCTGCTGCTGCTGGGGAGGCCCCTGGCGCCGCGGACTCCGCCGGGGGGCCGTTGGGGGCCCCCCGAGCTGCGCCGGAGGCCATGGTGAGGCCTTTTGAAGAAGTTTTGATGAATTAAATGGCATTTAGTTCTTTAAACTTGAAAAGGAGAAGAGCTGGAGGGCTTCAGCGGCGCCAGAGCTGCGGCGACTCACCCCCCGTGGCCTGGAGTGGCGAGCCGCCTGCCCGCTGCAGCGCAGCAGCGACTTTGCTGCGGCTTATAAATGGATTTTAAACTCCACTTTAATGCATTTAAGCTTTTAAATGCATTTAATTGGGGAGCTGTGCATGCGCGGCGCACCAAAGCCGAAGTTTCCCTCTCGGCGCATTCAGCTCCTCCCTGAATAGTCGGTGGCAGCCCCAGTCCGCGATCCCAGCGCCTTGCCCGCTTAAAACTGCAAATTGTTTATTTTTTTGGATATTTTTGACTAAATTTGCTCAAAATTTTGGCCAAATTCGCCCAAAGATTCTCTCTTAGGGGGTAATCGGAGTTGCTGCACGCGGGGAACTCGCTGCGCTGCCGAGCACTCGCGCAGGGTCTCACCCCACAGCAGCAGCGCCGAACGGAAAGCAGAATTCCAATTTCTGATTTTAAATATTTTAAATTCAAACTTTTTATTTGCTGTCTTTGCAGTTGGAAGGAACGTCAAGCCGCGCTTACCTGCAGTTCCACTCCTCGGATTCGCCGCAGCTCGTCTCGCAAGAGGCGATCTGCACAGCCGCGATGCAGCTTTCTTTCCACTTAGCAGCATTTAAATTGCAATTAATCTCAAATATTATTATTTATAACGTTGATCTTGAGGAATTTAATTGCTGTTTCCACTTGTTTATTCACCAGACACCGCAGGAGCTCTTCAGTTCAAGTTTTTGCTGCTGCACCCGCAGCTCCGTTTTCAGCTCTTGCTGCAGCAGCAGCAGCAGCAGCAGCAACGCGGCATTGAATTCAGCAAAACGACGCAGTCCAAAGGGAAGAGATAGGTCTAATTGTTTTAGAAATTCAAAAGCTCATAAATAAATAAAAGTATCTGCTTTGGATTCCGATTCATCACACAGCCTTGGGCGAAACTTTGTCCAAAATTCAAAATCAATCGCACAGCAGCTTCAGCTGTTCTTGCTGCTGCGGAGTCCCTTTTGCTGCTGCAGCAAAAGGAAAGGAGAAACAAGAAAGTTAGGAAGCAAATGGAAATAAATAAATAAATGCCAAAAAGACTTCAAGTGGTGAAGAGCTTGCTGCAGCGCTTTTCGTTTGCCCAGACGCTGCTGGAAGTGTCTTTACACTGGAGATTAAAAAGGGATTTTATTCATTTATTCCAATTTAAAGAAGCAATTTACTTCTTTAAATTAAAGTAAATGAAGCACTTAACTTGTTTTTGGGTCTTTGCATCTGGCGAGCTTAAAAGAAGTGCAGCCGAAATGGTTGCATGCAGAACGAATCCAATTTGCATGCATGGGAGACTCAAACCCTAAACCCTAAACCCTAAACCCTACCCTTTGTCTCAAAGGGAAAGAGTTCAGTTTGCATGCGTGAGAGCCTAAAACCCTAAACCCTAAACCCTGAACACTAAACTTTGGCCGAAACACAAAAAATTCAAGTTGCATGCAAGAGAGCCTACAGCCCTGAAACATACACCCTAAACCCTAAACCCTAAACCCTAAACCCTAAACACTAAACCCTCAAGTTTGGGCGAAGCAGACCGAATTCAACTTGCATGCATCAGAGCCTTCCCCTGTGTCTGTCTTATGAGGGCATCAGAATGGAAACTAAACAGTTTAAAACTCTTTAAAGATTTACTTTAAATAATAAAACACTTTTAATTAATTTATTTTAAATAATAAAACACTTTTAATTATTTATTTTGACTTATTTGGCCTCGGGAAACTTTGCTGTTCAAATTTGAAGTTATATTTCCCGCTGCAGCAGACGGCGGAAAGCAGCTTCCTGCAGGCGGGCCAATGCATGCAGGAAGTCTAAAAGATTCTTTTTCAAATAAATTCCTTTTAATTAATATTAATTATTTATTTATAATAATTAATTATTAATTAAAATGAATTTATTATTTATTCAAAAGTCCATTTTGACAAAAGAGCTACACAGCCACTCACCGTGGCTGTTTAGTCTAGGGGTATGATTCTCGCTTCGGGTGCGAGAGGTCCCGGGTTCGAATCCCGGAACAGCCCGTCTTGCGTTTTTTGTTTCATTTTTGAGCCACTTTTGAACCACTGGGACTATTTTTGCAGCTTTTTACTATTTTAGAGGATTTAAAGTAGAAAAATGCAGAAAATTGGCTGCAATTCCCGCAGAAAATGGCAGAATTTGAGCCGCCGCCGGGCCTCTAGTGCAGCATCCACTGGACCACTGGCGGAATACGGGGCCACGCCGCCGCTTTTTTGCGGGAATTTCGTCGCTGAATTATTTAAAACATTTTCTGTTTTGAAATTATTAGAAGGAAATGCGAAATTCGAATTTAAAAGGCGTGCAGCGACAGCAGAAGGCAGAGAAGGCAGCAGCGAGGAAGCAGTGATCGCCGCCGACTGGGGCTGCCGGGGCTGGTGGGGATTTCCAATTAAGACAACAGGATTTCGAAAAGTTTGCGTTTTAAAAAGTCTTTTGCCTTTTTGCATTTAATTTTTTACTCGAATTCCACTTGCGGCTGGAGGTAGGCTTGCCTCGCGGTGGATGTACACCGGAGGGCGCTCGCGCTGCAGCAGCAGGAGTGGTTGGAAGTCACCTGCGTAGATCTCCAGAACTAAGAAACCTCGCGTCCCAGCTGAAGGCCAGCAGATTTAATTTATTCTTTTTGTTTTTTTTGACTCATAAGGAGAGCTTTCACGCCTCGTTTGCTGCCCCCGTCGCAGCCAAACGCAGCAGAACCCGCTGTGCAAGTTTTCAGATTCCCGCAGATTTCGCCACCATGGCCGTTGCTGAGGGCGACAGCAGCGCAGCAGGCGGGCAGAGCCCCACAGTGGCGCTGCGTCCGGCCTCTTCGCGGGCGGAGAGCAGCAGCAGCAGCAGCAGCAGCAGCAGCAGCAGCGGGGCGGGGAAGCCGACGCAGCAGCAGCGCGTGTGCCAGCTGCTGCTCGAGCGCCACGGCAGCCGCGTCGTGCAGCTGCTGCTGCACAGCCAAGAAGGCAAAAAGCTGCTAAGGGCCTTTTTGGCTTTTGCCCTTCGCCCTGCAGAACAAGGCGGGGGCAACTTCTTGCTGCGGCTGGCGGAGAAGGAGCCCCTGCTGCTGATGCCCGTGCTGCTGCGCAAGTCCAGTGAGCCAGCAGCAGCAGCAGCAGCAGCAGCAGCAGCAGCAGCAGCAGCACCAGCACCAGCAGCAGCAGCAGCCGCAGCAGCAGCAGCAGCAGTCCGGGTGTACGTACACCGGGCGTGCTGCAGCAGCAGGCGAGGGCGCTCAGATGACGCTGCATTTATATTTATTTATATTTATTTATATTTATTTATATTTATTTATATTTATTTGTATTTATTTTTGCGACGGATTTGAACAAATGCTGCATTTCTTTTGATAAATCTTTGCATGCAAAGAACTGCAATTAATCTTTTGCTGCTGCTCTTCGCAGGCAACCCCGAAGTGGCCAAAGGCCTCGCAGCTTGCTTCCTCAAGGGCCTCTCTTTTGCTGCTGCTGCTGAAGTGCTGCCAGTTGCTGCAGCATTTGCTGAAGCTGTTTTGGAAATGGTCAAAGAGGAAACAGAAGCAGCAGCAAAAGAGGCCCCTCACGCTGCTGCTGCTGCTGCTGCTGCTGCTGCTGATCCTGCTGCTGCTGCTGCTAGCGATAAGCGCGCCGACGGCGAGGGCCAGGACGAGGTGGGCGCTGCTGCTGCGCTGCTGCTGCTGCGCTGCTGCTGTGCTGCTGCTGCGCTGCTGCTGCTGCGCTGCTGCTGTGCTGCTGCTGCGCTGCTGCTGTGCTGCTGCTGCGCTGCTGCTGCAGTTTCTTTTGTTTTATTTATTTCTGCATTAAATCTATTCAAGACTTCTTTGAATAAATTAAATCCCAATTATCAATTTCATTTAATTCAACTTAAGAAATGCTTATTAATTCTTCATTTAATTTCTTAATTTGATTTATCTGCTGCTTCTATGCAGTTCTTCAAATCTTTTTTATTTTTAAAATCCTTTTTATTTTTAAATCTTTTTTTTAATCATTTTTATTCTTTAAATCTCTCTTTTAATTTATTTCAAAGTTTTAAATTAAGTGGCCTTTGGCCTTTTGCTTTTAAAATGGCATTTAGAAGCTTCAAGAAAAGCGCTGAAGCAGCAGCACAGCTGCGTCGTGCTGCAGCAGCAGCAGCAGCTGCAGCAGCAGCAGCAGCAGCAGCAGACTACGCAGAAGCAGCAAAAGTGTGGGTGTGTAGTGCATAAACCATTATCAATATTTGCCTTTTTAGGCTTTTGAGTTTTATTTGAAATTTATTTTTTAATTTGCTGCTCAGAGTTTGCTGAGGCGGCCTTCGCGGGTGCAGGAGCTGATACGGGAGCAGCAGCGCCGCTGCAAGCAGCAGCAGCAGCAGCAGCAGCAGGAGCAGCAGCAGCAGCTGCTGCGCCACCGCAGCAGCACGGCCGACTTGGCAGCAGCTGCGCAGGGCCCCAGAGCCCTTCACGAGAAGCTCATAATCGAGGCCATCATATTTGCTGCCAGCGAAAACGCAACAGCAGCAACAGCAACAACAGCAGCAGCAGCAGCAGCAGCAGCAGCAGCAGCAGCAGAGGCGCAGAAACTCTGCGAACAGCTCGTTGAATTCGCCCCAGCAGTTCTCACTCGAGTTATTCAAATTGAAGTCTCCAGGACTCAAGCAGAACAAGCAGCAGGGGCGCAGGCTGCGCAGTCTACGGGGGAAGACAGCCAGCACAGCAGCAGCAGCAGCAGCAGCAGCAGCAGCAGCAGCAGCAGCAGCAGCGGCAGCGGCAGCAGCGGCGGCGCCAACAACAACTGAGGCAGCAGCAGCAACAAGAGCAGCAACAGGAGAAGAGTCTGCGACAGAAGGAGCAGCAGAAGCAGCAGCAGGGCAGCAGCAGGGAGTGGGGCTGGAGAAGGCTGGGGAGCAGCTGCGCGTGCACAGTATTGTTTGTCTTGCTGCAGCAGCAGCTGCAGCAGCAGCTGCAGCCAGACCTTTGTTTTGTTTATTTTGAGTTTTTTATTGATAAATAAATAAAAAAGAATAAATCCATCTGAGATTCTCAAGAGCTTGCTGCTGCTGCTGCTGCTTCGCCACTTCGGGCCTCCCGCTGCTCCCAGGGAAGTGGATCTTATTTGCATTTCCCGTTTTCGTTTCTTCAGCAGCTGCAGCAGCAGCAGCAGCAGCAGCAGCAGCAGCAGTTTTAAGACCCCCGAATTGTTGCAAATGCAAAAAAAGAATTCCAAAGAGGTTTTTGCTCTTCAAATGCCACGGGAAATGCGCCAAGTGCTGCTCGGATCTGCTGCAGTCGAGAAGACAGAGGGGGAAAGCTGCTTCTTTTTAGGTGATCAGCAACTTTCTTTTCCTCTTTTTCTTTTTCTTGCTGCTGCTGCGTTTTGCTGCTTCACTTGGAGTGAGCTGCAGCGCTGCAGCTGCAAAAACTTCAAACGGAAAGCAAATTCAACAAATTTGAACGAAGGCGAAACGGGGGGTTCTGCTCGATCTTGAATTCAAGTTCGAGAGTGCACAAACTCAGTTATTATATTTATTTAAAAACAGTTTTTAAATAAATATAATAACTTCTATAGAGCCACTGGAAAGCAGTGAAGTCTAGCTGAACGTGCATGCAGAATATTCAAGAAAAGATGAATTGCCAAGACACATTTAGTGAGATGAAGCGCAGCAGCATTAATTTATGCAACGAAATAAACTTGAAGAGTCCTCTTTACATTTATTTTGTTGTTTTGCATCTTTTTCAATTGAAAGTCTGGCTTGGCTGCCCCGGACTTAGCACAAGAATGAGTTCAAGAACAAATTCTGGCTGCTTTGCCTTCGTTTCTGCGGCCCTCGCTGAGCAAAAGATCAAATTCAAAAGCAAATTCAAAAGTGTTTTCAATTCTGAAGTCTTTTTAGAGATTTCTGCTGCTGCAGCGGCACTCGCCTGCAGCAAAAGCTGAACGAGCGTTGCTGCAAGTTCTCCGAGCTGATCTCTTGAACTGGAAGATCTTTTGTTCCATTTAAAGGCCAAAAAGGCCCAATGGCTTTTATATTTGCTGCCTTTCTTCAACAGAGGCACTGTTCTGCTGCTGCTGCTTCAGCAGCAGCTGCAAGAACTTCCATCAGCAGCAATTACTGCTTCAGCAGCAGCTGCAAGAACTTCCATTAGCAGCACTTGCTGCTTCAGCAGCAGCTGCAAGATCTTCCATCAGCAGCAATTATTTTCGAAGTCAGGAGGCCCCTGCGGGTTTCTCTCAACGAGTTGGGTCTATTTAGCAGCAGCAGGACTTCGTGGGATTCTGTGAAACTCCGAAGTTCGAATTTGTCTTTCGTGTCGCCTACAGAGCTTTCGGAGTGCTTCGAGGGAGTTTACTGGCCTTAAACTTGCAAATATATTTCCAGAAAATGCAAATATTTATAAACAGCACTGAAATAGAGGCTCTAGCCAGGGCTGGAGAGGTGGGAAGCTCCTCTTTCCACTTTTTCTATGGGGCCCCCTGCTGCAGTTTTGGCAGCCAAGAAGTGCTAAGGAGCTTTTAAGGGCTTTATTTGTGAAAGCTGCAGCCAGGAAATAATGAATTAATTCAGAAGAAGGGCCTGAGTGGAAAGAATTGAATAATTGGTGCAGCTGCGCCTGCCCGCAGGAGCTCGCGCGAATAGCTGGCGACTGCTGCCCCTCGTTTTGCTTCTTTTTGCATGCAGAACACTTCAAAAAAACAAACACTAACTGGCCTTCGCGTCTCGGCCTGTTTTCCAGGATAATTCGCGAAGTTCTGCTGCAGCAGTTTTGCTTCCGCCGGCAGATGCAAGCCGCGAGAAGCACAAGTGCTGCTGCGCGCAGCGCAGTGTCTTTCCCGTATCTCGCGGCTATTGATTAGGCTTTTCGAATTCGCCACAAACTTGGAAAGCCAAGCCTTTCGTTTGTGCGGGCTCCGCAGCGCGTTTGGCAGAGCCAGTGGATCTGCAGTGCAACTTGCCTGCCGCCTGTCAGATTAAGCCCGCAAAAGGGTTTATCTCTTTCCCTTTCTTCAGCAAAGCAGAAATGGAATTGTTGCGGGGAAAAACTCCGAAGAAAAGGAGCAAAAAAGGGGCGCCAAGCGCAGTGTCGACGGGCGCAGGCGGCTTTCCACATCGGGAGTGTGCGGCGCCGGCTGTTCTGTGCTTCCCCGAGGCACCACTTTTCCTGACCTTCTGCGAAGGAAAATAAATTCCTTCTGAATAAAGTGGGGCTTTTCGGGGCTTCCCTGGAGGCTTCTGTTTGCGGAATCCGCGAAAGCTGTGCACGCGACCGCGCGGCTGTCGCCAGCGGCCCACGGGGAGCAAAGATGGGAAGCCTCGACCATCTCTTGCATGCTGGTGACTGGCGATCAAGTTTTCTTTTGAATTGCTTCGATTTAATCCGCGAATTCTGTTCTTGGCGGCGCCGCGGAGGGCTGGACTGCCGCGGATTTCAGCTGCTGCAGCTTACCACGGAAAGCTGAACAAGCCCGCCGCGGCTGCGTTTCGGGCCCCCTGCGTTCGACTGGCCGGTTTCCGAGTTTGTTTGGCATTTATTTCTCCAACGCAAATGCCAAAAGAGGCGAATTAAAGCCGCTGATCCCGCAGGTTGCATGTTGAATATGCTGGCTGCGCGCAGGAGCCCAGCCTTGCTGCGCGGTTGCTGCCAAGCCGCCCGGATGCTGCAGCTCTCCGCAGCCCCCTGCTGGCTTTCCGATGTTGGAGACTGAAGATCTCTTCAAAAAGAAATGGACTTCTTCAAAAGGGGGCCCCCGGGGGCCCCCAGCAGCGCCGGCGGCCGCTCCGCTTCCGCCGGCGCCTTCCGCCCGCCCCGCCCGCTGCTGCGCAGCTCCAGCTCTCCCCTGGAGGGCTTTGAGTCTCTGCAGCAGCAGGCGAGCGTTTGCTGCGCTGATCAAGCAGCAGCAGCAGCAGCAGCAGCAGCAGCAGCGGCAGCAACGCCCCTCTTCTACTCCCTCGAGGCCTCTCCCGCCGCTAGCTGGGAAGCTCAGCCTGCTGCTGCTGCTGCTGCTGCAGCACGTTTGTCTTCGCCTCTAGACAGCTACATTCTGCACCCGGTGGCCTCCAGCCCTGCGGAGTTCAGTTCGGAGAGGCCCCGCAGCAGCTCCCCTGCTGCTGCTGCTGCTGCTGCTGCTGCTGCTGCTGATGATGCAGCAACGGCGAGGGGCCAGTCAGCGCCTGAGACCTGCTGCGCCACCGATGCTTCCAGCAGCAAACTACAAGTCGCTGCCCCCTTCAGCGACATCCAACAGCAGCAGAAGCAGCAGCAGAAGCAGCAACAGCAGCAGCAGCAGCAGCAGCAGCAAGGTGGCCCTGTGCTTGTCCGCTGCACTTCAGGGCCCATTAGCCACTCAAGAAGCCCCTCAACAGAGCATTTGTCTCTTTCCCGCGAAGCAGCAGCAACTGCAGCAGACGCAGCAGCAACTGCAGCAGCTGCTGCAGCAGCAGCTGGTGCTGCAGCAGGTGCTGCTTCGGGCTACGCCCACCAAGAAGCAGCGCAGCAGCTGGGCTTTTGGGGGCCTAAACAGGACTTATCCGCAGCTATTCATGCCCATCATTCGCTGCAGCAGCAGCAGCAGCAGCAGCAGCTGCAGCAGCAGCAGCAGCAGCAGCAAGAGGCATCCCCTTCCTCTCTAGCCTGTCGCATGCGGCTTGAAGCCAGCCGGCCGCCTCGGGCCTTTCAGCGGGCCGCTTGGGCCTCCTTGTCTCGCTCAGAGTCAGCTGAAGAAGGTTTTGCTGCTGCTGCTGCTGCTGCTGCTGCTGCTGGGGGCGGCAGCAGCAGCAGCAGCAGAAGCAACAGCAACTCCCCTCGCAGCGTCCGCGCGGCTCACCTGTCGCTGCCCACAATGCCCCCCGTGCCCCCCCCAGAGGGGCCCCCCGGGGGGCCCCCCGGGGGGCCCCCCGGGGGCCCCCCAGGGGCCCCCTTGGGGCCCCGAGTGACCTCAAGAGTGGGTCTAAAGTGCCGGCAGCAGCTAAGCAGTTTGCTGCGCTCTGTGTCTTCCCCAGCTTTGGCCTTCAGTGGGCCTTCTCAGGCGGAGAAGGGCTGGCGAGGGGGGGGTGGTTCTGTGGCTTTTGCGGGCAAAGAAGCAGCAGCAGCAGCAGCAGCAGCAGCAGCAGCAGCAGCAGCAGCAGCAGGGGGGGGAGAGGGGGCAGTGGGGAGCCGCCGTGCCGCTGCGGCAGACTTCTCCGGCGCAGCCGCTGCAGCACCTGCTGCGGACGCCGCTGCAGCTGCTGCTGCTGCTGCTGCTGCTGCGGACGCTGGAGCAGCAAGCTTCAGCAGCAGCAGCAGCCGCAGCAGCAGCAGCGGGAGCTCGCTGCAGCAGGCGGGCGGTGGGCGCCGCCGGGCGTGGGGTGTACGTACAGCTGACACTTCTTCTTGGCATTCTTTTAATTCTTCTTCTCCAGTTTTTAACTTCAGCAGAATTTCAAGAAACTCTTTCCACCCGGGGGGCCCCCCGCAGCAGCAGCAGCAGCAGCAGCAGCAGCAAGGGGGGCCCCCCAGCTTCAGTTCGCTGCCGCTGAGCAGCAGCAGGCGCTGCTCCTCAGACGTCGACTCCGCAGCAGACACAGCAGCAGCAGCAACAGCAGCAGCAGCAGCGCCTGCTGCAGCTGCTGCTGCGCAGCAGCAAGACGGCTCCCGAAACGCAGAAGGGCCTGCTGCAGCAGCTGCTGCAGACGGCAGCAGCAGATCTCTTCCCGCTGCAGTTGACAAGGGCCCCAATGAGCTCTTCCGCAGGCCAGCAGCAGCAGCAGCAGCAGCAGCAGAAGCGGGGCCGGCAGCAGCAGCCTCGGGCGCCACCGCAGAAGCAGCAGCAGCAGCAGCAGCAGCAGCAGCAGCAGGGGGAGTTGAAATGGAAGGATTTGTGCAGGGAGTCCAGAGCTGCCTCTCCAGACTTATTAAAAACTTTCCTCCAGGTTATGAACTTCATAATGGATATGGGGCCCTTTCAGTACCCTCTTATTGGCTAGCTGAGGGCCCCTGGGGGCCCCCCCCGCTGCTGGGGGCCCCCGCAGCAAGCAGCAGCACCAGCGCGCCCGGCAGCTGGAGAGAGACTGCAGCAGCAGCACGCAGCAGCAGCAGCAGCAGCAGCAGCAGCAGCCAGCAAGCAGAGCCCGCCAGCAAGCCGGCAGGGCCAGATGCCGACGCTGCTGCTGCTGCTGCTGCTGCTGGTGCTGGGACGGCGGGGTCTGCTGCTGCGTCGTCTGTTGCTGCTGCGGGCTGCAGCAGGGAAGCAGCAGCAGCAGCAGCAGCAGCAGCAGCAGCAGCACGAAGACAGGAGTTGGGTCTGGATATTGTGTTTGCTTTAGATGCTGCGCCTTCGGAAACTTCTGCTGCTGCTGCTTCTTGCTTCTACTCTGTGGAAGCAGTTGTGGGCCGTGGGGCCCACGGCGCTGTCTTCCGGGCCAAGCGCTTCACCACCACGCAGCAGCAGCAGCAGCAGCAGCAGCAGCAGCAGCAGCAGCAGGAGTCGGCGTCAGGGTCTTCTGGCTGCGCCTCTGGCGCAGCAGCAGCAGCAGCTGCCGCCGCCGCAGCGCCGCCCCCCCTCCCCCCTGCCGCGGCCAACAGCAGCAGCAGCAGCAGCAGCAGCAGCAGCAGCAGCAGCAGCAGCAGCAGCAGCAGCGAGGAAGTGGAGGTGGAGGAGGACGAAGTGGCGCTGAAGATAATAGACCTGGACGGGGCGCTGCGGACGCAGTGTACAGACACCGCAGCGCGGCGCTGCTTGCTGCAGCAAATCCGCGCAGAAGCAAAACTGCTGCAGCAGCTGCAGCACGAAAACTTGCTGCAGTGCCACGAGGCCTTCCAGTGGCCTCCTTGCTTCTTCGTGATGGTCACTGAGTTCCTTCCGGGGGGTTCTTTGCGGCAGCTTTATAAGTCCGCGGGGCCCCTCCCGGAGACAGTCATTGCCGGAGTTCTCAAGTCCGCTGCTGCTGCTGCTGCTGCTGCTGCTGCTGCTGCTGCGAATGCTGCTGCGAATGATGCTGCTGCGGGATGCGCTGCAGCAGATGCGGCTGCTGGGCAGGGGAGGGGGGGTGCTGGGCTGATGCTGCTGCTGCGCCTGCAGCTGCTTACAGCCGACCTGCTGCTGCTGCTGCTGTGCTGCTGCTGCTGCTGCTGCTGCTGCTGCTGCTGCTGCTGAGTGGGCGCGTTGGCTGCTGGGGACTTGTTTTGGGGAGAAGTTTCGAGACTTGAGGGGACTGAAAGTCTGCTTGTGCTGCTGCTGCTGCTGCTGCTGCTGCTGCTGCAGAGATGTGGTGGCAGCTCTTGCGTATTTGCATTCTGCGGAATTCGACGAAGACGGAAACTGCAGCAAGCAGGTGTACATACACCGCGACGTGAAGGCCGCCAACATTTTGCTGACGGAGTCCGGCACTGCAAAGTTGATTGATTTTGGCATTTCCAAAGTCGGAGGTGATTTTATTTTTAATTTAATTCTTTTTTCTCTTTTTAAATCTCTTTCAGCGCTCAAAACCGCCAAATCCGCCGCCAAATTTTTTCTCTTTTTAAATCTCTTTCAGCGCTCAAAACCGCCAAATCCGCCGCCAATCTGCTGCTGCTGCAGCAGCAGCAGCAGCAGCAGCAGCTGCTGCTGCTGCTGCTGCTGCACTTGCAGACTTCGGTGAAACTGCGCTTTTCGAGTTTTGCTTTCTTTCAAAGTTACACTTATATATTTTATGTCCAAATGTAAATAAATAAAATGCCATTCAATTAATTGTTTTCATTTAAACTTTTAATTTGCAGCTTTTGTTTATTTCCTGAAATGCAGCAGCAGTTGGCGAAATTGAATTTTCAGAAATGCAAAAATAATTAAATTTCCACAAGTCCTTTTGGAGCTTCTTTTTTATCTTTTGTGCTTTTATGAGCTGCAAAAAATCCTCTTTTGAGCTGCAAAACATCCCCTTTCCTGCTGCTGCTGCTGCTGCTGCTGCTGCTGCTGCTGCTGCTGCTGCTGCTGCTGCTGCTGCTGCTTTTGCTGCTCCAGAATGGGACTCCGAGTTCGCGGGCACTCCGCAGTGGATGGCCCCGGAAGTGGCAGCTTTATTTTTTCGCCGAAGTTTCCGACAATTGGACTCCAAAGAAAAAAATGCCAAAGAGGAAATGGGGGCCCCCGGGGGCCCCCTAGGGGCCCCCGGGGGCCCCCTAGGGGCCCCCGGGGCCCCCGGGGGCCCCTATGGGCCCCCCGTGGACATTTGGTCTTTGGGCATTACTGCCTACGAACTCGCCATGGGCTGTTTGCCCTGGCCCAGCAAAATAAAACTGGAAAAGGTATTTTTAAAAGTTGAAATTTTTAAAAGTTGAAAAGAGTTTTGCTGCTTCTTCCGGTGTACGTACACCTCAGCGGGCCAACAGACTGTCCGGCCAGTGCCCTTCGAGCCCTCCTTTCAGTTTCCCCACTTGCGTCCCTTAATTCCTCTTTCCCCTGCTGCTGCTGCTGCTGCTGCTGCTGTTGCTGCTGCTGCTGCTGTTGCTGCTGCTGCTGCTGCTGCTGCTGCTGTTGTTGCTGCTGCTGCTGTTGTTGCTGCTGCTGCTGCTGCTGCTGCAGCTCATGCACATGATCGCCTACGGCCCGGCTCCGCGCATAAACTTGAACGAGGGATTTGAAAAGTCTTTTTGTTATTTTGTGGAAAAGTGTTTGCGAAAAAACGCCAAAGAGAGGTGGGTGTGGCGCGGCCGCGTTTTCAGGTGTCTGTACACCCCAGCGCTGCACACTGTTCGCGTGTTCTGATCCATTTGCTCTGTTTTGATTTTATTATTTTATTTTATTTTATTTTATTTTATTTTATTTTATTTTATTTTATTTTATTTTATTTTATTTTTTAAATTCAATTTAATAAGGTTTGAATTGGTTTTGTTTTTAGGGGAACTGCTGCTGAGCTGCTGAAGCACGACTTTCTGACGAGTGAGTTTCGCTTCCGGTGTCTGACCACTTCAAATTTTCAAATTTGAGTTTATTTTTGAATTAATTTTCGAATTTATTTTAAATTCTTTTTTATTTTTGAGTTTTATTTCCAATTTGCTTCCAAATTTGCCATTTTGGGATCTGTTTTGGCCGGAGGTTTTCTAATTTGAATTTCCCGCGTTTTCCCTCAAACCCTACTTCAGCGTTTTTGACGCACTTTTGGGACTTATAACTTCAAACTTTTCCCAAATAAACCATTTCTGAAAAGCTTTTCAAAAGCCCTTTAAAAGCCCTTCAAAAGTCCTTCAAAAGTCCTTCAAAAGTCCTTCAAAAGTGCTTTAAAAGTGCCTTAAAAGCTCCTCAAAAGTCCCTTTTTTGCTGCACTTAGCTTCTTTTGCATGCAAGTTTTTTGCTGCAGAGTTTGGCTCCAGCAAACGCCCCCAGTCGCATGCAGAGCTGCGGGAAGCTGTGGAGGCTTTTAACGGCAAGCGGCAGCGTGAGTTTTTTTTTATTTTTATTTTTATTTTTATTTTTATTTTTATTTCTTTTATTTCTTTTATTTCTTTTATTTCTTTTATTTCCTTTCCTTCTTTTTCTTTTTCTTTTCCGTTGGCTGCCTCTTCTTCTGCTGCTCCTTTTGCGCCTTTTGGGCTCGCGCCAGCAGTTTTCCTTCTGCAGCAGCGCTCCCGCTGCTGCTGCTGCTGCTGCTGCTGCTCAGTCTGCTGCTGCTGCTGCTGGTGCTCAGTCTGCTGCTGCTGCTGCTGGTGCTCAGTCTGCTGCTGCTGCTGCTGCTGCTCAGTCTTCTGCTGCTGCTGCTGCTGCTGCTCAGTCTGCTGCTGCTGGTGCACAGTCTGCTGCTGCTGCTGCTGGTGCTCAGTCTGCTGCTGCTGCTGGTGGTGCTCAGTCTGCTGCTGCTGCTGCTGATGCTGAGTCTGCTGCTGCTGCTGCTGCTGCTGAGTCTGCTGCTGCTGCTGCTGCTGCTGCTGCTCAGTCTGCTGCTGCTGCTGCTGCTGCTGCTGCTCAGTCTGCTGCTGCTGCTGCTGCTGCTGCTGCTCAGTCTGCTGCTGCTGTTGCTGCTGCTAAGTCTGCTGCTGCTGCTGCTGGTGCTCAGTCTGCTGCTGCTGCTGGTGCTCAGTCTGCTGCTGCTGCTGCTGCTGGTGCTCAGTCTGCTGCTGCTGCTGCTGCTGGTGCTCAGCCTGCTGCTGCTGCTGCTGCTGCTGCTCAGTCTGCTGCTGCTGCTGCTGCTGCTGGTGCTCAGTCTGCTGCTGCTGCTGCTGCTGCTGCTCAGTCTGCTGCTGCTGCTGCTGCTGCTGCTCAGTCTGCTGCTGCTGCTGCTGCTGCTGATGCTCAGTCTGCTGCTGCTGCTGCTGCTGCTGCTGGTGCTCAGTCTGCTGCTGCTGGTGCTCAGTCTGCTGCTGCTGCTGCTGCTGCTGAGTCTGCTGCTGCTGCTGCTGCTGCTGGTGCTCAGTCTGCTGCTGCTGCTGCTGCTGCTGCTCAGTCTGCTGCTGCTGCTGCTGCTGCTCAGTCTGCTGCTGCTGCTCAGTCTGCTGCTGCTGCTGGTGCTCAGTCTGCTGCTGCTGCTGCTGCTGCTGCTGCTCAGTCTGCTGCTGCTGCTGCTGGTGCTGCTGCTGCAGCCTCCGCTGCTGGTTCTCGGGCCCAAAGGCTGCACTTTAGGAGCCCCACGGCCGTTTGCTGCTGCTGCGCGTTGCTGCTGCTGTTCCTTTTGCTGCTGAGGGCCCTGCGCCCGCGCGGCGCTGCTGCTGCGCTGCTGCTGCTGCGTTGCTGCCTCTGCTGCTGCTGCAGCTGCGTTGCTGCTGCTGCTTGTTGTGTGTCTGCAGCCTCCGTGCTTTCGACAGTGGTGAAGTACTTCAACAGCTGGGGCAAAAGAGGGGCCAGCAGCAGCAGCAGCAGCAGCAGCAGCAGCAGCAGCAGCAGAGCCTCGCGGCGGCGGCTGCCAGCAGGCCGGCTGCAGCACTGGGGCTCTGGGGAGCCTGTGGGGGCCCCCCGGGGGGCCCCTTCAGGTCAGCAGCTTTTTAGTTTTTGTCTTTTGCTGCTGTTCGGTGCAGCAGCAGCAGCAGCAGCAGCAGCAGCTGCTGCTGCTGCTCTCCTTGCTGCTTTCCGGGGGCTGCTGCTGCTGCTGCTTCTGGCTTTTCTTGCTTCTCTGCTTTCGTGATGCTGCCGGAGACACGCTGAGTGTATTTGCAGCCTCGCTGCTGCTGCTGCTGCTGCTGCTGCTCAGTCTGCTGCTGCTACTGCCGATGCTGCTTAGTCTGCCGCTGCTACTGCTGCTGCTGCTCAGTCTGCTGCTGCTACTGCTCCTGCTCCTCAGTCTGCTGCTGCTGCTGCTGCTGCTGCTCAGTTTGCTGCCGCTGCTGCTGCTGCTGCTGCTCAGTCTGCTGCTGCTGCTGCTGCTGCTCAGTCAGCTGCTGCTGCTGCTGCTCAGTCTGCTGCTGCTGCTGCTGCTCAGTCTGCTACTGCTGCTGCTGCTCAGTCTGCTGCTGCTTCTGCTGCTGCTTAGTCTGCTGCTGCTTCTGCTGCTGCTCAGTCTGCTGCTGCTGCTACTCAGTCTGCTGCTGCTGCTGCTGTTGCTAGTCAGTTTGCTGCTTCTGCTGCTGCTCAGTCTGCTGCTGCTGCTGCTGATCAGTTTGCTGCTGCTGCTGCTACTCATCTAGTGCTGCTTCTGATAATGCTTAGTCTGCTGCTGCTTCTTCTGCTCAGTCTGTTGGTGCTGCTGCTGCTGCTGCTGCCCAGTCTGCTGCTGCTGCCCAGTCTGCTGCTGCTTTTGCTCAGTCTGCTGCTGCTGCTCTTCAGTCTGCTGCTGCTGCTCAGTCTGGTGCAACTGCTCAGTTTGCTGTTGCTGCTGCTGCTGCTGCCTAATCTGCTGCTGGTGCTCCGTCTGGTGCCTCTGCTGCTGCTGCTGCTGCTGCTGGTCAGTCTGCTGCTGCTGCTCCACAGTTTGCTCTTGCTTCTGGTGCTCAATCTGCTGCTGCTACCGCTGCTCACTCTGCTGCTGCTGCTGCTGCTCAGTCTGCTGTTGCTGCTACTATTAGTGCTGGTGCTGCTGCTGCTCAGTCTGCTGATGCTGCTGCTCAGTGTGTTGCTGCTAGTCAGTCTGCTGCTGCTGCTGCTACTCAGTCTGCTGCTGCTGTTCAGTCTGCTGTTGCTGCTGCTGCTGCTCGATCTGCTGCTGCTGCTGCCGCTCCGTCTGCTGCTGCTGCTGCTGCTGCTGCTGCTGCTGCTACGTTCACTGCAGCGGGCTGCTGCCGACTTGTCTGGACTTCTTTTTCTCCTCTGTTTCTGCGTTTTCTGTCTTGCCATTGTTAATTCAAATTGAATTAAAATTGATTTATAATTAAATAAAAAAGAAAATTAATTTTAATGCAAATGCCTCTTTAGTGGACTTGTGGGGCTTCCGCGGTGTGCACTTTGGGGTGTATGTACAGCTCGCGGCGGCAGCTTTCAGCACAAGTCCGCGGCCTCTTCCAGCAGTTCATTATTAGTTTGTGCAATTGAGAACACTTCCTCAGCCAGCAGCTCGATGTCGCAGCAGAACGAGCCCCTTGCTGCTGCTGCTGCTGCTGCAGCAGGTGCTGCAGCAGCTGCAGCAGCAGCTGCAGCACCTGCTGCAGACGCGCCCCAAGCCCTCCAGGCGGCGGCACACATGCACGCGCCCGCAGCCCCTGCGGACGCCCAGAAGGAGCAGCAGCAGCAGCAGCAGCGGCAGGACCAGCAGCAGCAGCAGCAGCAGCAGCAGCAGCAGCAGCAGCAGCAGCAGCAGCAGCCCCAAATTCATCAAGGATGGACTGTCTCGGCCCCGGGCAGTTCCGTAAGTTTCGAAGAGCTCGAATTTGCTGCTGTCGAAGCTGGCATTGCTGCGGCGGACAAATCAGCAGCAGAAGAAGGTCTCAGCAGAGCAGCAGCAGCAGCTGCTGCTGCTGCTCCCTCTGCTGCAGCAGCAGCAGCAGCAGCAGAAGCATCTGCAGACACCAAAGAGCAGGAGCCGGCGGAACCCCCCAGCCCGCCGAAGCCTTCCCGGTCCTTTTTCTCTTATTTGTTTTCTGCATTTCAAACAGCTAAATCTCCGCAGCAGGAAGATGTGTCTGCAGCAGCAGCAGCAGCAGCAGCAGCAGCAGACGGCGCTGGTGCTGCTGCTCCTTCCGCAGCAGCCGACGCTGTTGCTGCTGACGCTGCTGGTGCCGACGCTGGAGCCCCTCCCGCCGCAGCAGCTGCTGCTGCGACCGGTGCCGCAGCTCCTGCAGCAGCAGCAGCAGCAGCAGCAGCAACAGCAGCAGCAGCAGCTGCTGCTGCTGCTGCTGCTGCGAGCCCGCCTGGCTCCGTAGCAGCTTCAAGCCACCCCTCGCTCGCCCCGTCTGCCAGCGAGCTGAGCAGCGAGCGAAAGAAAAGGTCTGGAGTTCTGCAGGCCATGAGGTCCTCGCCTTCCTCGTCAGCAGCAGCAGCAGCAGCAGCAGCAGCAGCAGCAGCAGCAGCAGCAGCAGCAGCGGGGGGGGCGGAGCAGCCGCCGCTGTGGCGGCGGTTTCGCAAAACCCGCGAGCTGAGCCTCAGCAGAAAAATAAAAAATAAAGAAAGTCGAATGAGTTTGGCAAAAGGAGCTGACAGGTTTATGGGATTGCTGAAGCGGGTGGGGGTGGTGAGCGATGCTGCTGCTGCTGAAGCAGCAGCAGCAGCAGCAGCAGCAGCAGGGGCGGCCGCGGGCAGCAGCGGCAAAGGCAGGAGCAGCAGCTGCGGCAGCAGCAGAGCTGCCAGGGGCTCCCGCAGCAAAGCAGCAGCAGCAGCAGCAGCAGCAGCAGCAGAAGCTCGCAGCGAGGACTTCTCCCGGGGAATGAGGAGAAACAAATCGCTGGGGAATGGACTGACCAGTGGACCACTGGTCCACGCGGAGCCGGGAGGTCCGCTGCAGCAAGCAGCAGCAGCAGCAGCAGCAGCAGCAGCAGCAGCAGCAGCAGCAGACGCATGCAGCACTTCTTCGAAAGACTCCGCCGAGAAGGCAGCAGCAGAGCCCCTCCCAGCCCCAGCCCCTGGCGGTGAAGAAACACACGCAGCAGCAGCAGCAGCAGCAGCAGCAGCAGCAGCAGCAGCAGCAGCAGCAGCAGGGTACCCCGAGGGCTGGTTCCCCTCGCTGCAGAGTTTGGGGGGAAGTGCAGCAGCAGAGGAAGAAGGCACGGGAGTGCTGAGGTGTATGGACAGCTCGGCTGCAGCAACGGGCTCTGCTGCAGCGTCGCCGCGAGAAGCTCAGCAGCAGCAGCAGCAGCAGCAGCAGCAGCAGCCCGCAGCAGCAGCAGCAGCAGCAGACGGTGCGTCTGCAGACACGGTTGACTTCGCGTTCAAGGAGGAGGCAGCTAAGCAGCAGCAAAAAGAAAAAGACGCAGCAGCAGCAGCAGCAGCAGCAGCAGAAGCTGCTGAGGCAGAGCAGCAGAAAGGTTGGCTGGGAGGCCCTCAAGTGTACAGACGGCTGCTGGAAGGCATAGCGCAGCTCGCAGAGCAAGCGGGCATTCGTCGGCAGCAGCAGCAGCAGCAGCAGCAGCAGCAGCAGCAGGGCAGCAGCAGCAGCAGGGAGGAAGCAGCAACGCAGTCCGCCGAGACTCCCGGCGGGGCAGATCCGGCTGCAGCACAACAGCAGCAGGAAGCAGGAAGCCGCAGCAGCAGGGGGCCTCCCGAAGCCCCGCAGCTGCAGCAAGACAGCAGCAGCAGCAGCAGCAGCAGCAGCAGCACGCAGCTTTCTGGAGAGCCCCCGCAGCTTGTGGGGCCCCACGACAGCCGCCAACCCTTTGGAGACTCCAGGGGCTTCTCTAGCCCCGCAGGGGCCCCCTATGGGGCCCCCTATGGGGCCCCCTATGGGGCCCCCTATGGGGCCCCATACGGGGCCCCTTACGGGGCCCCTGGGGCCCCCGGGGCCTCGGGGGCCCCCGGGGCCCCTGGGGCCCCCGAGGCCTCGGGGGCCCCCAGCAGGGGCCCCTCTTCTCAGAGTAGCTGGTGGTGGAGTTTGCTTTCTCTCGAACAAAACAAAAGTTCGAAGGGAGGGGCCCGGGACCCCAGCGCCATAGCTGCCAGCTATTTATCTGAGGGGGGCCCCCCCGGGGGCCCCCCGGGGGGCCCCCCTGGGGGCCCCCCGGGGGGGGCCCCCG